GAGACCCTGCGTGTCCTGTGCCCAGCTCCTTGCTCACCCACGCTAACGTGCACAGCCACAGCTGTCCAGTTCCGGCCCCCCCACTCTCACACCCCCATCACTTTCTTACTTAGCCGGGGTCTCCGGGTTCCACGTGCTAAATTGAAGTGTGCAAGGAAAAGGTGACCTTGTGTCCTTCTGTAACTGCCTCAGCCTTCCTTCTCTGCCTCCCCACGCTGCGTAGCCAGCGACGTAAACGAGCCAATCCAAGAACACATTGCCTCTTTGGTTGCTCTCTTTAAAACTGTCTTTCCTGGGGCACCTGGGTGGCTCAGTTGGTTAAGCGTCCAACTCTTGATTTCAACTCAGGTCATGATCTCACAGTTCATGAGATCAAGCCCCTTATCAGGCTCTGCACTGAGCATGGAGCCTACTTGGGATACTCTCTCTCTCTCCCTCTCTCTCTCTCTGCCCCTCCTCCACTCTCTAAAAAAATAAATAAATACATAAATAAATAAATAAATAAATAAATAAATAAATAAAATGGTCTTTCCTCTTCTAGGTAGATAATTAGTCCTCCAACCCCTCCACTCTCTCCACTTTTGCCATCTTGGGGCACCTGTCGGGGAGCTTCTGTGTCCTTGTGGCTGTATGGCCATCTTAGAGTTCAGCAGGGTCCTCTGGGTCCTTGCAGGTCTCTTCAGCGATGGGGTCCCTGTTCATGAAGTCCTTCCCACCCCGCTGGCGTCCTAAGGTTTGAGAACCGTCCTAAGGCTTGGTCTGTTCCCTGTGTGCCTGGTCAGAACCCAGTATCTCTCCCTCGGGCCGCCCCCCCTCCCCCGTGGCCGTCACTGTCATCACCCTTGGGACCCGGCTGTCCAGCCCCAAGTCAGCCGCTTCCTTCCCACCTGAGGAAACGCTACTAAGCTCACCTTCCGGCACCACCAATGATCTTCTGCGAGCCGGCTCCTGGATGCTCTCTGCACCACACAGGAACCCCGGGGAGACCAGGAGCCCCTTCAGGTCCCTCTGAGGCCCTTCCTCTGGGTCTGATTCAACCCTGGCACAGCAGCCCCAAATTAATACATAGGCAGCCCGTGAGGCTCCTTCTCCCTGGCCCCCAACTGAGGAGCAAGCAAAATCCAGCATTTGAACTTTAGGGAACTTGAGTCTCTAGAAGCCTCTTCTCTCTTTCCATTATCCCCATGTTAAAGAGGTGGTGGAGTGAGCTGATCCATGATCCTTCCATTCTGGATCTACGCTCTTCTCCCCTGGGTAAGATGCTTAGGCTTGGCTAAGAAAAAGGAGGTGCGAAGGAGTATTGTTTTAATGGCAACTGAAAAACATTAGTTTCTTATTTTCAAAGTAATGTCATCCCATTATACATACCAATGCCGATCTATAAAGTGGAGTGGGCGGGATTGAGAAAAAGCACCAGTGGAAGGCAATTATGATTCTTAACTGATTATATAAAATGTCTTATGCCCAGATACACATATTGCTATGTTATCCAGCTTGCCCTTCAGGAATTCCATTCTATGATTATTTTATTTTTCGAGTCGCCAAAGTTTCTTAGAATTCTCCACTGTCTTCATAATGCTCCTGGTAATCTGTTTGAGTCACCGTCCAACATTTTCATTTTCAAGGTCCCTTTGAGGTACAAGAATATAGTCTTCAGGCTGGACATTCTGCAGCCCTTCTCATCTTCTCTAAACCCTCTGTCCAGGTTCCAAACAGACTCTGGAAACCAACTACACTTCTCCCCCTTCCTTTGATTTCAACTGGAAGTTTGCTATTCCGTATTCGAGTAACGTGTATCTGTCTACTGTTGTCTTATCAGGAAGTAGGATTATTTATTCTTTTCCTTGTTTCTTAGTCTTTTGGGGCCATGGATGCCAGTGAAAATCTGATGAAGGCCAGTAACCCCCTCCCTAGAAAATTGTGCATGGAAACTGAAGTGTGAAAACAGTATCAGGGATCCCCAGAGGCCAACCACAGACCCGTGTTAGCTGAGACCCCAACTTAACATCTATTGTTCCAGCTGTCATGGAGACTGACATTAAAATCAATACATGGGGGAAACCTCTAAGTCTATAACAGAGCAGGCATGATTCGATCCTTTGTAGACTGGAAACACAGACCCATTTTTCTTTAGAGATGTAACTATTTGTTGACGTACTTAATATTACGTAAATATTACAGGGCCAAATATTACTTAAGTTAGTTTTGAAGCTCTCGTGGCTTTTGATAATGATGCTTTCATCTACGTTCATGGTACTACATCTCCTGATGTCAGATCCCTGTGCGTACGACTACAGTGTTTATTGAACTCTGGGGCCATCATGTATCATTAATACAATTCTCAACACTCAAATAACACTGGACATATATCCCGATAATCTCTAGGACTTTATCCTTTAAGATTCTACTCAGCTATCACCGATTCCTCTTTCTTTCCTGACAACATCCATCCGACGAACTAGGCGAGGGCTCCCCCGAGTCTCATCAAATGCTCACGTGTGTGTGTGGTACCCCATGTGTCAAGATGACGTCCCTCCACCACCAGAGAATTTCACCAGAGCGGCATGGTTTTCACTCCCACCTGTGGGCTCCAGTGGCCAGCACGGGCCCAGCACATAGTAGGCATTCGGAATGCGTTTGCTGAATGTAGACTGAATCACCATTGACCAAGTCTTCAAAGGTTCCGGTGAGGTAAAGACATAAGCCAAAGCTAAAGAAAAGCAAACTGGAATTAAGACGAATTGCTATTTCAGTGTGTTAAATCTGTTGAGTGAGCTGAAAAGAGGTTGCTGGATGTGGATTTGTGGCCAGTTGCTGACTTCCAGGCTAGTGTGGTTCACACCACAAGGCAGCAGCAAAACTGGTAGACAATTTCAGCTCCTTGGGCTCATCCTTCGCCCTCTGCAGTCTGACCCAGGCCCATTTTCTCCTCCCTCCCAACCCCCCCCCCCCCCCCCCCCCCCCACTCTCCCATTTCTGAGCCTTATTCCTCCAGCTACACTAAGCAATCTCATGCTCCCTGGGTCTTACTGGCCCTGCTGCTTCCTCATCAAGAATGTCTGACCTGACATCTGCATATTAAAATGTTCCTCATCTTTCAAGAACCTACTCAGAGGCCATTCTCCCCATTGAGCTTCCCTGTATCCCCAGGCAAAAGAATTCCTCCTTCTCAAGCTCGCTGGGAGTACTGGTCACCTCCCATGAGGCCAGTTCATCACAGATTCTTGCTCAGGACCAGAAAAACAATCATTTCCAGTGGAGTTTTTTTCTTTTATCAATCCAGTCAGGGGCTCTTTATTTTCATTTCTATGTCATCTGTTTGCTCCTACTCCCCTTTATATAGACTGCTGCCTTTAGCATCCGTCCAGTTACAACTGTGTCAAGTGAATTTGATGTGCAAATGTCACAAAGAATGAAAGAATCTGTCACACATTTTTTAGCAGAACAGGACGGTCCCAATTCTTGCTATAATATGGTATATGATGAAGCCCTTCCTGTTGAATGGCCAACTGAATGAAAATACCGTATTTCCTTGTGTCCTTATAAATGCATTATTTACTGATCAGATTCTTTAGTGTGAGGAAATTCACCTTGAGACACTATCATCTGAAGACTCTTGGGCTGAGCTTTTACTCATACAGGCAAGTTACCATCATTGTTAGCTCTGAAGAGCCGCTCTCCTTCTCTTTGAGTTCATCCTCTGAGTCATCTCATCGTCATGAAATGTTGTTCTCTGTCACTTTCCTTCTCTTTGCAGTTATGAAAAATTTTGAATTCTCAACTGTATGCAGTGAGCTAAAAGCAGAGTCAAAACGGCGATGATTTATTTCGTTACTGAATCATCCTTCCAGGCAATTCCATTCTTCTGTTGTATTATTTTGGTGTCTGTTAGCATAATTGGGCATAATTGATGAGTAATGATGGAAGATAATTCCCAGGACGATGAAAGAGCAAAATATTTCGAAAGATAGGAAAAAGAAGATCACAAAGATCCCGTCATGTACCATAGATTGATGAAAGGGTCCAACGAACCCACGTAGTAATTACAAAATAGAATGAGTCTTATTTTATTTTTTAAAAAATCAGTAAATTTTCTCTTTGTTCTTAAGAAAGCCTTCAAGAAAGAATAAAAACAATAAAGTGTCAAGCCTTATAAATAGATAGAGCAACTGAGGGGAATTAAAGAACTGAAGTCTGGTCTAATGGACCCCAATGGTTTGCTGAGGGTTATCTTGTTAAAATTCCATGCACATCTGTCCACCTTAAGGCCAAGGCCAGAGCGAGAGTCACAGTCTCCATGTCTTCAGGGATCTACTCCCAGAAGCAGCTTAGGAGATACCCACCAAGTGGACAGTAGGAGCCAAAGGTATCATTATTAAGCTGGGACTGTAATTATCAAAGGAAGGTCACACAGTATTGCTTACCTACCTACAAGGACCTCACACCATCTCAAAATCTTTGCCCTTTGCCCAGAGTGCTGTCCTTCCCTGTCTCCCTTTTAGCTCGGTAACTGCTGCATTTTGTATGGCCATTTCCATGAGAGAGCTTCTTCCATCTCTCGGCCCTCAAGTGCCCCTTAGGGGGGCCTTCAGAGCATCCTTCCCCACCCCCTTCTCTGTACTTAACCACCAGGACAGTTAGCACCTGAGGTTTTAGTGTGTCCCTTCCACAAGGGGGTCGCCAGCCAGGTGTCTCAGCCTCCTCCTACCCACACAGGGCTGCCTCGGGGGGCGCCGCGTAAGCATCTTGTGAGCGAAAAACGCTGAATTTGAACACGTTTCTGAGCACAGGCGCTCACCTGCATGGTCGCTTTAACGAAGCATTAAGGTGCATGTATTCGAGTAAGTAAAAGTGGGAACTAAAAGGCCATCTGTAGAGCAAGCAGGTCAGGTAAGAGAGCTTGGTTTTCCTGGACAGTCCCTTCCCCGGGGGGTGAAGGGGAACGAGCACCGGGACTCTGGCAGAGGAGTCCTCAGCTGCTGATTCTGACTTGCATTTAGGCATCCGGTGATTTGTCGGAGACCGACACCAGCGACGACGCCAGGCACCCTCGGAGCCGGGCGGCCGCCACGGAAGAGAAACTGAGAAACAGGCTGTACGAGTTAGCAATGAAAGTGAGCGAGAAGGAGACCTCTTCGGGGGACGATCAGGAGTCGGAGCCCAAGACGGAGTCTCAGAACCCCAAGGAGAGTCTGTCCTCTGAAGACAACAGCCAGGGCGTCCAGGAAGAGCTCAAGAAGGTAAGCACCGTGAAGCCACCGGTGGACAGCTTGTTTTGTGTGGCCGGGGTGCGGGGAAAGTTCTATATTTGTGCCGAAGTGTCCTGTGCCCCCAAAGAGCTGTCTTTCAAATGCCTATCCTGTGCACACAGGAGACCCCAGAAACCCCAGTTGTTTAGCACTGAGTAGTTCAAGCAGGAAAAGGGCCCCGTGTGGCCCGGGCCTCCTGAGCCCTGTTTCCTCCTCCTGCTGTCCTTCACCAGACAGCCCTTTACTTTCGAGACTATAATTTATTTTTTTTTTTAATTTTTTTAACATTTCTTTTTGAGAGACAGTGAGAGACAGAGTGTGAGCAGGGGAGGGACAGAGAGAGAGGGCGACACAGAATCCGAAGCAGGCTCCAGGTTCTGAGTTGTCAGCACAGACAACCCCACCCCAAGCCAACCCCACCCCACCTCGAGCACCTACGGACATTGCTTGAAAACCACAGCGGGAAGGACCCCTGGCAGAAAGGGGGTCCCAGACCCCCTGCCCCCCAGTCAGTGCTCCACCCCCTGTCCTTCCCTCTACAGCTCCTCAAAGCACATCCGTGCTAGACTTGGCCACATTAGAGTCAGGATAAGGCTGCTTCCAATGGAAGAGGAAGAAGCTAACATTTGCTGAGGGTCTCCTATGTGCCTGGTGCTTTGCTTATGTTAGTTCGTTCATTTCATAAAAACCCTCTGGAGACGTACAGGAGGAAACAGGCTTGTTCTGAAGGTACTTATCTGAGGCCCACAGCTAGTAAGTTTCAGAGCTGGGTCCGCTTCACAAACCTGCTTGGCCTTAAATCACAGGCTCCTTCTACAGCAAGCTGCTTCTTCTGTAACTCAGATAAGATCTTGCCTAGAAACACTTAGATTTCTTTGCGCTTGTGGTCAGGTTTTTCCCCCTATTCTGAGAGTACATTACATAGGCTAACAAGTTACCGGTAGCCCATGTGAATGGGGGAAGAAGCCCTCTTCATCTGCTCTGTAGCCAGGCTATTGGAGCCAAGCTCCGTAGTACAGTTGGGTGCCATGGGGGAGCCAGGCCAAGCCAGGAATGACCGCAGATGGTCAAGAGCAGGCCCAGAGGGGTGTGGGGACCATCTCCCATCGCTGAGCCCCCGAACCCTCCAATGTCTCAGACTCTGCCTTTCACTCATTCCCACCCCACCCTCCATAACCTTTGAGTCCTTATACTCGTAAATCTATCGGGTCGCCTGCCTGTGGACAGTGCGCACATCTTTCCACTGGCCTGCCCATGGGCTGGAGCATGGAGCTTGGCTCTCGCAGGCAGCCCCTCCCAGGGATGTGGGCTCCAACCCATTGCTTCCTCAATGGTAGTGGGCTTTGCTTCTCTCCGTTACTTGAACCAATACCCCATTACTGTCATCATTTGTCTGCCAGAACCAAGAGCCAGAGGGTAACTGAAGAATATCACATTATTTCTTACAATGGCTCTACATCCTACTGGCTTTGCTGCCTGATGGTCACAAGGCTCCAAAAACTCCTGCTGTTCTGGCATTCCAGACCCTGATGAGTCATGCACTCCCGCCCGCCACCCCACCCCTCCATCAGCCAGCAGGCGTCACCTTCTGGAGGCACAGCCACCAATCTGCGCGGGGTTCTCCTGGGCAGAGAGTGAACAGGGAAAGGAGGAGCCAGTGGGCAAAAATCTTAGCTCCCCTATCCTTCCCCATGCCTCGCTGAGCAAGAAATGAGGAGAGTTGTTGAAAACGCTAGCTTTTATTCAAGCTCCCAAATATGTCCATTTCTCGAAAGTTAAGTCTTTCCCCAGCCTATCATGAATCAGTGCATGAAAATATCAATCAGATCTGTTGTCTGCAAAAATCCACATGAGCAAACAGAAACAGATAATTAGCACATATCAGGCAGAGGGCTACTCTGGGATGGGAAAACAAATACAGGTTTCTATCTTCAATATTATTTAGAAGCAGAAAGATACAGGGATAGGCTTCGCGATTAGACTGAGTTTGAATACCCACCATGCAATTTGCAAACTCTGTGAACTGTGGTTAATATCCTAACTCGCCGCCAGTGCTTTGAACAAGCTGGCGTACCCTACCCTCAGGCTGCTCCCCCTGTCCCTCCAGGCCCTGCGTGGTATTCCAGTCCTTTCTGCACTCAGCAGCCGGAACTGCCTTCCAGTCCCTGAGCTTTGCTCCCAACACCACCGACAGGCCCACACCTGTCTTGTTTTTCAGTTCATCCCTGGGACCCATCCCAGGGCTTCATTGTTGATTAGATAAACACATCTTGGCCTCATCTGTAAAATGAGGGTAATCATACCCACTAATAGAGTTGTAAGGGTTGAGTTATACAGCATTGGGTTTAGCACATTAGCAGGAGGCCAGCAAATATCATATCCCCTGGAACAACCTCCAGGAAAATAAACTTCACTGCTGTGAGATAACATCCGTCTGCTGGGACTGAAGGGACAGCTCTGCACCTGGTTGCAGTCAGCACCTGGTATGTCAAGCCTAGGTCTGTAACCACCTTTGGGGTTTTGTCATGCGACGTAGAATGTAAGTGGAAAGGCAGGGCATCAGAACGCCCCAGGTTCCCATCTTTAGGATCAGAATAACTGGGACTATCTCTGGGACGCCTGGGTGACTCAGTAGGTTACGCATCCGACTCTTGATTTCAGCTCAGGTCATAATCTCGTGGTTCGTAAGTTCTATCCCCGCATCGGGCTCTGTGCTGACATTGCACAGCCCGCTTGAGATTCTCTCTCTCCTTCTGTCTCTGCCCCTTCTCTGCTTGTACTCTGTCTGTCTCAAAATAAATAAACCTAAAAAAAAGAGAGAGAGAATAACCGTGACCTTGGCACAGCATGGTTTGGGAGTGGAACTCACTAAAGTGACTATTTCGGAAGCTGCCGGTGCTCCCCTAATCTTCTTACTGTGGCAGTGCCCCCTGGCCCAAAGTCCAACTGCCTGCGGACACCTGACGCGGCAGGAGCCCCTCTTCCTGCACAGAAGGCAGGCTGGGAGCGAGAAGAAAGTAAATGCTCTCCAGCTATTTGGCCCCCACTGGCATGATGATTCTGGGGCAGAGCTACACTGACTCCCCGAGCCTCCCCGGCACGCTGAGCTCTGGGCACCCACGCTGATGAGCCGTCCCCATTGACTCCCTTCCCATCCCTGCCCCACTTCCCCCTCCTCCACCACTACTTCCCCAGGATCACCTCCCGAATGAACTAAATCCCTATCTCAGATCGGCTTCTGGGTGAAACCAGACTAGGCCAGTAACCAAACAGGAGAAATGTAGGGTCCCCGATTGGCAAGTACTCCAGGGTTGTGACCGTACGTCGGTGTTCACACGTAGGCAGTGAGGAAATCCAGATGCCCGATTGGCTGCTAATGGCCTTTGCCTTACTAAGAGGAGCCTTGCCTCACACAGAGAGAGCTTTGCTCAGGCCCTACTGTCCCCTGCCTCCACCACTGGCCCTGCTCCCCAGGAGCCAAAGCAGAGGAATGTTCCTGTTCCCATAGACACATGACATCAGTGGCTGTTTAGTGTCCTTAGTATGATGACCCATATGGGAACTGGGACTTCAGAATCCTATGCAACAGCAGAAGAACCATTTCAGAAACATTCTTTATCTTTCTTTTTTTAAAATGTTTGTTTATTTTTGAGAGAGAGAGAAAGGGTGCACGCACGAGCGGGGGAGGGCAGAGAGAGGGCGACACAGAATCCGAAGCAGGCTCCAGGCTCTGGGCTGTCCGCACAGAGCCCAACACAGGGCTCAGACTCACGAACCATGAGATCATGACCTGAGCCGAAGTTGGATGCTTAACTGACTGGGCCACCTAGGTGCCCTTGAAACATGCTTTACCTTGATGGGAGTCAGCCCTTTGCTGTAGGCAAACTTGTCATATAGGTGGCACTTGGGGGATAGTCAGCACCATCTGCATTTTAACCAACTGTAGAACAAGTCTGTGGAGCTTGGGGCAAGCCCAGAGACCTCTTGGGAACCGGATTCCCAAAGAGTCGTTCTTTCCTTAAGTCCTCGTATTCCGTCAAACCTCAGTGGTCAGTCCTACAAACCATGTGATCCTTCGAGCCCAGGAGTGAGCACTTACTTCTCCTCTACCACTGGGCCGGTGGTCATGCCGATGGTTCTGGCAGAAAAGTCATGGACAAAGCGGTTCTTACAACTGTCTGCTTCTAGGTATGCAAGCGCAGCATTCCTGAAAGAAGGAGCAAAAGAATGGCTAAGAACTCCTGGCCTGAGTTTGGAGACTACTTTCAGGGGCTGGATCTCCTGTAAGCCCCCTAATCTTTCCAGGCTTGGAGCAGTGGTCCCCAATGTCCCTTCAGGCTCCAAAGTCCCATGGGTCTAGATATGTAACAGATTAGATGGATTTTTGTTTCCTGACATAAGTATCATTTATGACACTGTTTAAAAAATGGTTTTTTTCAACGTTTATTTATTTTTGGGACAGAGAGAGACAGAGCATGAACGGGTGAGGGGCAGAGAGAGAGGGAGACACAGAATCGGAAACAGGCTCCAGGCTCTGAGCCATCAGCCCAGAGCCCGACGCGGGGCTCGAACTCACGGACCGCGAGATCGTGACCTGGCTGAAGTCGGACGCTTAACCGACTGCGCCACCCAGGCGCCCCTATGACACTGTTTATATGACAAAAGATGTCCATGGGATGTTGAGTGTCTGTTGAAGGCCCAAATTAGTAAATTCTTACATTATAGGCAAATGTTTGTATATCCAGGCTCCTAAAAGCATTTTATTTAAAGTGGCTTTGTTTATTATTATTATAAGTGGCTGGATCATTGTGCTTTGCTTTCCAACGGAGTCACAGACTTGCACATATCACCCATATTTATAGTTTCTTGAAACAATTTTCATTAAAGTATTAAGACTTCCCTGAACTATTAAATGACTTTCTCCCCAAACAAGAGACAAATTTGTGTATCTCCTGGCTGTTCCCCATCTACTAACCTCAAGGGACAGAAAA